TTCAGAGAGGAAGGGAGAGGGAGAGAGAGATAGAAACATCAATGATGAGAGAGAATCATTGATTGGCTGCCTCCTGCACACCTCCTACTGAGGATGGAGCCCACAACCCAGGCACGTGACCTTGACGGGAATTGAACCTGGGACCCTACAGTCCGCAGGCAGACGCTCTATCCACTGAGCAAAACCAGCTAGGGCAAAAAGAAGGATCTTTTACCCTTTGAGACAGCATGGATGGACCTGGAGGTTATGATGCTAAGCAAAATAAGCCTGTCAGAGAAAGACAAATACCATGTGATCTCACTTATATGTGGAATCTACTGAACAAAATTAACTAATAAAACAGAACCAGGGGCATGGAAGTGTGGAACAGACGGACAGCTGTCAGAAGGAAGAGGGATGGTGGTGGGGAACTGGATAGAAGAAGGTGAAGGGACTAGCCAAAGCACACATATGTGTAGCCCATGGACACAGACAACAGTATAGTTAATGATGGCCAGAGGGAGGCTGTTGGGGGCCGGGGCTGGCTGGAGCTGGGCAAAGGGGTGGGGAAGTGGGGGCCATCTGTAATGGTGTCAACAATAATTTTTTTCTTAAGAGAAGGAAGTCCTGCCATTTGCAACAATATGGATACCCGTGGAGGGCGTTCTGCTAAGTAAAATCAGTCAGAAACAGAAAGACAAACACTGTAGGATCTCACTTCTATGGGGAATCTAAAAAAGGTGAACTCATAAGACCAGAGAGTAGATTGGGGGTTGCCAGGGGCTGGGGGATGCTATGCGGGGTCCACACATTCGGTTATTAGATGGGTAAGTCCCAGCAGTCGCATGCACAGCGCCATGGCTATGGTGTTTAGTATTGTAGTATGTAATTGAAACTTGCTAAGATCATGACACTCCAACCCACTGAGCCACGCTGGCCAGGGCATGGGTAAACATTTTTAAAAGGTAAAAAGCTGTCATCTTTGACGGGGTCAGTGTAGAATCTGGACAACCCTCGGGTCCATATAACCTTACATTTTCATAAGACATCTATCACATTGATCCTCTCCCCTTCATTTTACAAGGGGGCAAAGGGGGCAAGTTTATGTAGGTTAAATTCAGCCCAAACTGTGAGTGGTGCAAGCCAGCAGCTAAAAGCATGGCCAGTGCCCAAACCCATAAGCCACGCAGCTGAGCTGAAAATTTTTCCCTTCCTTCCTTCCTTCCTTCCTTCCTTCCTTCCTTCCTTCCTTCCTTCCTTCCTTCCGCTTCACAGCAATGTCATTTTCTTTACTGAAAAGGAGAATGTGTTGGGGGAGATGGTGTCAAAGCCAGCATTTCTATATCCTTGCTGCTTCCTGCTCTACGCTTCTCTCCTTCACTATTTCTCTTCTGTGACTACAGCTATCTCGACTTTTTCAATCTTTTAAAAAACATATTTTTATTGATTTCAGAGAGAGAGGGAGAGAGATAGAAACATCAATGATGAGAGGGAATCATTGATTGGCTGCCTCCTGCATGCCCCTCACCAGGGATCCAGCCCGCAGCTCAGGCACCTGCCAGGAATCGAACCTGTGACCTCTTGGTGCATGGGACAACGCTCAACCCACTGAGCCTCATTGATAAGGATTTGTATCAATGAGACAGAGCCGGTCCTTTTCCAAGGTGACGTGGGCCAACTGGACTTGGTGAACCCCAGTGTCTCTTAGTGTAACTGTCAGAAAGGAGAGGGAAAACCCCCCACAAAGAAACAAAAGAAACCCCCTAACCCCACTCACCCCTGAAGGGAATCAGGCTTCCTGGCTCCTTCCTGTTAAAAACATCTCCGAAAGCAGAAGGAAAAGGCACTCATGGGCCCTGCAGGCCCTGATATATTGGTGGAGGCTCCCTTCCCATTGGCTGGGGCTGAGCCTTGACACTCTTCCCCTTTGCGCAGGTTTGAAAGCTTAGCATCGGGGACTGGAGGTGAAGGTGGGCGCACGGCTGTTCCCACAGGTGCTGCCCTGCTGTTCTCATAGGTGCTACCCGTGTGTGAAGGAAGCCCGTCTGTCTGTCCATCCGTCTGGCCTCTTAGATCCACAACGAGCAGCCTGGGGAAGTGGCGGGCGTGGAGGGCGCCCCAGACTCCTGGAGTCTGTCCAAACGCTGGCTTCCCCTGTGGAAGCTTCCAGAGCCATTCCCTGCTTGACCTTGCTCACCTGTCCAGTTTCCCCCACCCGAGTGTCATTCTACTGACCCGATGTGGGGCCCAAAGCAGCAGGCCCCGTCAAAGGGAGA